GAAGTTTCGTGTTCAGATAAGAATTCATAACCTTTTTGGACTTGTAATAAACTAGCTCACAAGTCGCGCTTATGAGCGCGCAGCGCGAGCCGAGCCGAGCGAGCTCGTGCGAGTCCTACCACACCAGAACAATAAACCAAGCGAACGACTTTGAGAAAGTCTAGACTTGTAACTACTTATGGGCAATTAGCAATAAAACGTCACAGTTAATTAATTAATTTCATCCAATGAAACCTAGGCCCTGTTTACAAGCAAGGAGGGTAACCCTTGTGCTAGGGTTACCCTAGCAGGCGGGTGAAAGATAGCCCGGGTTTACAAGCAAAATTTCACAGGTAGGGTTATCCTACCACCCGGGACAACTTACCGATGCTTGGTAGCCGCACGCATCGTTAAAAATGTTCAAAGGGTCTGGAAACAAGTAAAAAGTTGTCCCGGGTAGACGAGTTATCCCCAGCAGAGTGAAAAAAAAAAAAGAAGAAATGTGGGAGCAGGAGGGTTACCCTAACACTTCCACATTTCTTCTTTTTTTCATCGACGTGTTTACAAGGCAGCTAGGGTTACCCTAGTGCTAGGGTAACCCTAGCTGAGCGCTGCCTTGTAAATGCTCTGCTGGGGATAACTCGCCTACCCTGGACAACTTTTTACCTGTTTCCAGACCCTTTGAACATTTATAACAATGCGTGCGGTTACCAAGCATAAGTAAGTTGTCCCGGGTGGTAGGATAACCCTACCTGTGAGATTTTGCTTGTAAACCCGGGCTACCTTTGACCCGCCTGCTAGGGTAACCCTAGCACAAGGGTTACCCTCCCTGCTTGCAAACAGGGCCTTAGTCTGCAGCAAGCTTAAGTAAACAGCTGAGTTTAAATGTTTTGACGAATGGAAATTTGTCGTTCATTGAATGTCTTCTTGTGGATGATGAAGGTATTTGAGGGAAAGTGCAATAAAAATTTGGTTAACTTGCATTCGTATTGTTACAATAATGCAGCTTAAAACAAGTAAAAGATGAGAGAAAGAAGTAAACTTTGCTCATTCTAAGTTATGTCAACTGTAGGGGTATCGTCGTCTTACCTGCGGGCCGAAACACTACTCTAGTGTCGATATTATTCCCCAACAGGTATGTGCTTCTCATCCTCCGTAATAGAAAAGTTAATTGTAATACTGTCGAATACGCTATGGCGCCCTTATGTTCTGATTAACTCTAATTGCATTCTTGGTAAAGATGAAAGCAAAGAGTATTCGTGTCGTTACTCTACCTTTAGGTCGGCACACCAAACCAGCGTCCTTATGATGCCCATAGTTATGAACTCCCCTTCCATTGTGATTGCACTGTGATATTGATGTCTCATTTCCCACACATTGCACGTCATCCAGCCATATTGGACCAGTTCCTCGCCCAAATGCTGCATTACCAGATGCTGATAAAGCTCCATCGTATCCAAGCTCATGACAAACTACATCAGCGTCCTGTAAGTCCCAAGAGTCGTCACAAATAGTTCCCCATGTACCATTGTACATCACTTCAACACGACCAGAAGACCGCGAATTGCTGAGGCTTACCAAACGAACTGCAGTCGTGAATATAAAGGTTAGATAAAGTTCCCGACAAAACTTGTTGATTCAGCCACTTTTATC